TATATTCATTGGGGGCACATGAGACATCCCATGACAGTTGGCTGTCAATTCTTTCCAACTGAATTCCCATGCTTAGTGTCCAGTACACATGGATGGCATTCATAGGCGTACAGACTCCAGCCCAAAATACCTGAAAAAAATTTTGTGTTACAGATGGTGTCGCCAGTCTTCTGCGAGAGGCGAATCTGTGGGGCTTACCGTGTAGGGACCTACCAAGATAATTTGGAAAATTTGAAGGCCACAAACACATTTTCCTGTTATTCTGATTCATGAATACAGCAACTTCATTGTGGTCCAAAATATCGAAATCCAACTACTAAAAGAACTTTAACCGGCTGACGATAGTATAACCCCAGAAGTTGTCGTCTTTAAAGTTACAATTTCATATTTTTAAGATATATTTTAAAAATGCATTAAAATAAAGCCCTAAAATAGATGGATTCTATAAACAGTTCTACCTTGTTAAAGAATAATTCTATTAATCCTATAATTCACTATTGCCAGTTGAGAAATTGGCAAAAATATCATTTTCAACTTCAAATTCAAACGTTTGAATATAGCTATTTCATGGTGGGAATAGGAAAACAAGGGAGGTAATTGGGAGGTAATTGTGTTATTATTTCCGGTGTGAAGATTTTTAAGTGTGAGAAAGATAACCTATGATCGTATAATAGTGAGTTGACACGTAACTCATTCAAAACACTTGAAATACTTTATTTACTTAATAATAATCTGGCGTTGGTTTTAACCTTGACTGTGAAACATACAGTTTACCGTTATTCAAATATACATGTATCTTACTTAATCCCCTTATCAATGTTATTGATGGATTATCTTAAATCTTCTTGATCATATTACAACAATAAAAAGCTTTTAAATACAATAAAAACCTCTTGGAATTGGTACAAATAGGGATGTATCCTTGAAGATTTATAAGTCAAGATTAGTATTAGTAGGTCTTGGTGACTTTTGAAACTCTGCGATGCCGGCCATAAGAAGAACGATGAACGTTGCACTAAATGAAATGAGAGAGAGAGAGAGAGAGAGAGAGAGAGAGAGAAGAGAGAGAGAGAGAAATGGGGTTTAACGTCAACTTGACACAAACTAGATCATTTCGGGACTAACACATGGATCAATTTTATTTCAATAATTCGCTTGTGCGTAGGGGTCCTTAGCAGTTGGAGGAAACCGAAGGACCCGGAGAAAACCCATGAGTTTGGACAGGCGATCCTACTCCTTGTCACGTATAACCAGGGAATTGAAACCTTGCCAGTTGACTCAATGACAGACCTTATGATACAACGTGCACACGCGCTAACCATTTGGCCATCCAACTCCCTCCTCCATTCAAGGAGAAACCAGGATAGAAATTCTGGTAGACATTTTCTCGGCCAACATCAGTATCGAACCGAGTACCTACTGGTTAGGGTTAAGATTAGGGTTAGTGAGCAAGTGGCCTCACTCAATGAGCTATCGTGGCTCACCTATGATGAAAACTACAAGAGACTCATCAAACAGTGTATAGAAATAGTAAAATTTATCGACCAACTACAATATTGTAAACAGTTTGGGGGATCACGGTGGTTAAGTGGGTAAGATGCTGGCTCGTTAGCCTGGAGGTTAGGTGTTCAATCTATGTATAGGCCGAGAAAGTTCATCCAGAATTTCTGGCGTTGTTCCCCCTTGTCAGTGATGCAGGACGGAGGGCCTGACAAGGACAAGCTGTCTAGTCATTCGGATGAAACGGAAAATCGAGGTCCTGTGTACACATTGGCGTGCACGTAAAAGATCCCTTGACAGTTGGAATTCGATATAAGTGCTGCTGTCCGGGCAAAATTTCCCTCATAGCACACTGTATGGCGTATGCCCGTCTTCATTAGCCCATTTCGGAGCAAAACAGTAGGACGTTAAACCCCATTTAATTTCATTTCATAGTAGAATTAATCTGCAAGTTTTGGTTGTTTTCGAAGAACCGACAGGATATTTGTTTCTCTGGGAGATATGAATATTTTATCTATAAGCACAGGATGTTTGTTATAAATCATATAACCTCGATTAACTTAACACATTAACAATCTCAAATTTATCAAATTTCAATATAGTTACATCAATGTTTTATGGTCACGAATGTAACAAAACAAAATAAAGGGAAAGGTTGTCTTTACATTGCTCCAGTGTGATAAAGTAATTAAAAATAGCTTCTTCAGACGCTTATATTTAAACCAATTCAAAATTGAATATAGTTACATCAATATTTTATGGTCCCAATTTTAACAAAACAGTGAAATAAAGTTAACTACACTGTAACCCGAGTATCATTAATTTCTTTCACATTCATTTAATACGTAAAAATCATTTCAAATCGCCAAAAATCATCTAATTTGTAGTTGTGTCCTGTTTAAAGCTGACTGATTAATTTTGATAATGAGTGTTCAATTTACAAGTATTTAATTTTCTGACCACTGTTCAAAAATTAATCATTATACATCAATAATTAATTGGGTTGTTTATTTTTTAACAGTGTAAATTGGCCACTCATTATCAAAATTGAATGGTCAGCTGTAAACATGACACATTCTAATCCTATACACAGAGAGAGAGAGAGAGAGCAAGAGAGAGAGAGAGAGAGAGAGAGAGAGAGAGAGAAAAATGGTGTTTACCGTCCACTCAACACAAACTAGGCCATTTCGGGACTAACACATGGTTCATTTTATTTCAATAATTCGCTTGCATGTAGGGGGTCTTTAGCAGTGGGAGGAAACTGGAGGACCCCGAGGTTGGACAGGCGACCCTACTCCTTGTCATGTACAACCGGGGAATTGAAACCACACCAATTGACTCAATGACAGACCTTATGAAACAGTGCACACATGCTAAGCTAACCATTTAGCCATCCAGTCCCCCATCCCCCAATCCTATACATCTAAATGAGTAGAAATATTGTCATAGAGGTTCTGATTTTATAAAAAACTCTCGAGTAACCCCGCAGAAAATGACGTTTTCCTCACACCGGACCCCCTCTGCTCAAATTCCTGAGTACGCCCCTCAATTCTGTAGATAATATAATGATTCTATTCATCCTTAATTGAAAGAAGTTTCGTGTTTTATTTTATGTTATTAAAATAGTAATTGCAGGGGGACTGCACCATACATAATTACACAAAACAAATCAGACTCAGAAATCACAAACAAACGTACATATTAGATTAAGTGAATAGATTTGGGGGCTAGCCGTACGTGTCTACTCCGCTGAATGTCCTGGGCCTGGACTGATACAGACTTCACTCAAAAATAAAAACTAACAATAAGTAGGAATATATCCCAGAGAAAAACATTGTATAATACTAGTACGAGTCATGATCTGCTATATGCCACCCCCGGTTGTACTTGACAAGAAGTAGGGTTGCCTGTCCAACCTCGTGGGTTTTCTCCGGGTCCTCCGGTTTCCTCCCACTGCTATAAACCCCTACGTGCAAGCAAATTATTGAAATAAAATTAAACCATATGTTAGTCCCAAAATGACCTAGTTTGTGTCGAGTGGACGTTAAACCCCATTTTTCTCTCTCTCTCTCTCTCGCTATATGCCACATGAAATATGAATGTAAGCATATTGAAGTAAATTATATTACCTATACAAGTAACCATATCGGTGAAATGTATAAAAAAACAGGTAGCCCACAACTAAATGGTCTATGTTATAGTGACAAACATTTTAAGCATTTGAAAGAATTGATGTGTATTGACTAAAAATGAGCCGAGTTAATTTTTTATTTTATTAAAAGGACCAGAGTTTTTATTTTTATTAAGAGGGGAGAGATATATAATTATATCCCGGGGTAACAATGACTATTTTCATACAAAAACATACAAATTCAAACTTTTCTAAATTCCAACGAATACTAGACGACATTCTATAGGATAATTAAATGATTCTATTTGTCAACTGATTGAAAGAAGTTTCGAGTTTTATTTAATCAAACGCGGGTTAGACATTGAATATATAAAGCAGTAACAATGGCTATTTTTATATGAAAACATACAAATAGTGATAAGTGGTTAAGGTAAATTTTGTATCAATATGCCTTTTTTCTCTGCCCGTCGTCTTTTGTGAATTGGTTTGTATGGAGTAAATATCATCTTTGAGAATAATGTTTGCCTATCAATTAATGGATTGTAATTGGTGCTAAATACTTGTAGTGGGAGTTGGAATGTGTTGGCTTGTATTGTGGTAGAAGAATATCCACTATTTATGCAGATGGTTTAATCGTCACGGCCGTACTTTTGACGTGGATGTTTGTCGTCAGGATAGAACGTAGATCAATATTAACATAAACTATTGGTTATTGTTTATCTAATTTTATATTCAGTCGATGTCCGTCTTTATTAGCCCAGGTCATTTCGGGATTAACATATGGTTCAATTTTATTTCAACAATTCGCTTGCGTTTAGCGGTCATTTAAACCCCCATTTCATCTAATTTCTCTGTCATTATCTGTCTTCAGAAAAGAGAAATGTGGTTTAACGTCTGCAGGACATAAACTAGTTTATCTCGGAACTAACACATGGATCATTTTTATTTGCTTACGCCTAGGTGTCTTCAGCTGTGGGAAGAAACCGGACGGAGGACCATGGAGAAAACCCACAAGGTTTGAATAAGCGATCCTACTTCTTGTCACGTACATTGAAACCATAACACTTGACTCAGTGTTTTCCCCTTGTTATTGGTGCAAGATCCCTTGGCAGTCAGAATTCAATATAAGAGTAGGCCTTAGGGCTGTTGTCTGGGCAAAATGTTCGTCATAGCACATGGATAATTTCTATTTGTTTACGCATAGTGGTCCTTAGCGGTGGGAAGAAACCAGAGGACCCAGAGAAAACACACGAGGTTGGACAACCAATTAAACTTCTGGACACGTACATCGAAACCATCAGACTTGACTTAGTGATTTGCCATTCATTCATTCATTCATTAAACCAAACCAAAGTTTTAAAATGGAATATGAACTTATTTTTTTATTCTTAAAGGTATTAATTTATATTTATGTTAAATACTTTTGTATAGTGTTAGTTTGGTTTCCCCCGCTGTCTAGTTGTTCGGATGAGACAAAAAAACGAGGTCCTGACAGTTGAAATTTGAAAAAAGAGAAGCTGTAGAGTCGCTGTCAGGGGAAAATTTCCCTCAACACACTGTATGGTGTAGGAGTGTCTTCCTTAGCCCAGTCGGTGCACACTGATGCAGGCCCGTCTTTATTACTTCAGTTGGTGCACACTGTATGGTGTAGGCCCGTCTTCATTAGCCGAGTCGATGCACACTGTATGGTGTACGCCCATTTTTATTAGCCCAGTCGGTGCACACTGTATGGTGTACGCCCATTTTTATTAGCCCAGTCGGTGCACACTGTATGGTGTAGGCCCGTCTTCATTAGCCCAGTCGGTGCACACTGTATGGTGCAGGCCCGTCTTCATTAGCCGAGTTGGTGCACACTGTATGGTGCAGGCCCGTCTTCATTAGCCCAGTCAGTGCACACTGTATATGGTGTAGGCCTGTTTTCATTAGCCCAGTCAGAGCAGAAAAGCAAAACTCCTGACCTTTCACTTTCATACCTGGAAATATTTGACAGGACAATTTGTTATAATCATTATTAAAATGACAGATTTATAGTTGCATAATCTGACAATTTAAATCCACCGATATAATTAATAGTACAGAAACATGGAGAAACTGATCGTGTGAAGATGGTGTTCACGGACGTCATCATCATATGTCGTGTAATTTTTATAATTGAATGACAAGTGAACAGATTAGATGTAAATCATATAATCCTACTTGATACGACACTTTCAACTTTCTATGAACTTTATTTATACATGGTGACAATCAGCCTATCATTGTAAACAAACAAACAATGTATTATTACTAAGGGCAGGATGACTGCACCACACACAAACTATATATTATTAGTCCGTCTTCATTAGGCCAGAGGTCGGGTGTTCGATCCCTGCATTGGCCGAGAAAGATCATCACTATTTTCCGGCATGGTTTCCCCTTGTCAGTGATGCAGGACAGAGGGCCTGACAAGGACAGCTGTCTAGTCGTTCGGATGGGATGAAAAACTGAGGTTAGAAGCAGACCAGTAGGACGTTAAACCCCATTTCATTTCATTTTCATTAGGCCAGTTCAGAGCAAAACAGTAGGACGTTAAACTCCATTTCATTTCATATATTATTAGTAAGTACAGGGGGACAAACAATTATACAAACCAAATCTATAGACAAGACACAATATACTGAAACCACAAACAACAAACGTACATTATATCAGATTAAGTGGATGGATCCAGGGGCTAGCCGTAAGCGTCCACTGCGCTGTACAGTCCCGGGCCTGTAGTCATACAGACTTCACTCAAAATGGAAAACAAACATAGTTTGTGCTGATCGAGTGGATGTTAAACCCCATTTCTCTTACTCTCTCATTAGTCCAGTCGGAGTAGATTGCAAGTAGGACGTTAAACCCCATTCTACTATTCTTGTGTATTTCATAATAATTATAAATGTAAAGCAATTTTTTTTCAAAATTTTTAGGTTAAGATGGAAAAAGTGGTTTCAGAGAAGTTGGAAAGAAGAGTCTTAGGTAAAAGATGACAGTTTTCAAAATTTACAGGTAAAGGTGGAAAGAGAGGTTTTAGGTAAAAGATGATTTATTCATCCACCTACTACAGGTGAGATAAACAGGTAGATAAAACCCACGCTCGTTATCATTATGTCATTCATTGACCCCACACGACCTCTGGCTGAATAAATCAATGTATAAATTTATTAGTAACTTATGAACTTTTGACCAGCTGTAGGCCATCATGTAGATGTTGGCAAGTATAATCTTGAATGGAATTATTATTGATAAGCGAATAAAGAGACACAGTGTTTTCTAGAATGAGTAGTTGTTCGGATGGGATGTAAAAACTGAGGTCCTCCATATAAAAAAACCTTGACTGATTGTAGTTGTAGTACACTGTACAGCATATGCAAGAATGATCTTGAATGGAATTATCATTGATAAGCGCATAAAGAGACACAATGTTTTCTTAAGTGTAGTCCTTCGGAGGGTATGCAAAAAATGAGGTCCTGTTTACACGTTGGCATGCACATAAATAAACCCTTGACACTGTATGACGGATACCCATCTTCATTAGCCCAGTCGGAGCAGAATAGTAGGTCGTTAAACCCCATTTCATTTCATTTTATTTCTTGGGGGCTTGGATGGCCGAATGGTTAGTGTATCAGTTGAGTCAACTGGCGTGGTTTTGATTCCCTGGTTGTACGTGACAAGGAGTAGGGTCGGCTGTCCAACCTCATGGGTTTTCTCTGGGTCCTCCAGTTTCCAGCCACTGCTAAAGACCCCTATGCACAAATGAATTATTAAAATAAAATTGAACCATATGTTAGTCCCGAAATGACCTAATGGCCATTAGACTCTCTGTCATTCTCTCTCCCTCTCTTCCCCTCTCTCTCTCTCTCTCTCTCTCTCTCTCTCTTTCTCTCTCCCCCACTCTCTCTCTCTCTCTCTCTCTCTCTCTCTCTCTTTCTCCCCCTCTCTCTCTCGCTCTCTCACACACACACACAATAGTGTTGGGTGTAACTTTAAAGGAATGAAAATCTTTCAAATGACAATCAACAACTTGAAAACATTTATATCAGATTTCTTTGTAAATAATTGATAGTAAAAATGATAATTTATTATTTTATAAGTAGGATTATAATATATCTGTACTATTATTATTATTTTAATATAATTACACGTATATTTACAATGTCTGGTTTTATATTTACAGATATTGTCTCATGTCTTATCAAGTATTTACATTCAATTATTCTAAATCTGAGCAGAAATGAAATGGGGTTTAACGTCCTACTTTTCTGCATCGACTGGGCTAATGAAGACGGGCATGTGCCATACAGTGTGCTGAGCATAAATAAAATGAGATTTTAATGTCCTACTTTTCTGCTCCTACTGGGCTAATGAACACAGGTATACACCCTACAGTGTGCTATGAGGGAAATTTTGCCCGGGCAGCAGCGTTACAGTCTTCTCTTATATCGAAATCCAACACTTAAGAGTTCTTTTACGTGCATGCCAAAGTGTTCTTTTTATTCCATCCTAACAACTATACATTGTTCCTTGCAACTATTCTACATCCAATTGCTATTGTCAAGTATTGGCGGAGGACTTCATCTGATAGAATTCTTGGTTATGTAAACAAAAGGAATGGATGACTGAGAAGTACAGATGGAAGTTGGGTGTTGACAGGGTGAATACTGTTAAACAATACTTGAACACCGAAAATGAGAGAGAGAGAGAGAGAGAGAGAGAGAGAGAGAGAGGTCCACTTGACTAGATCATTTACATATGATTCAATTTTATTTCAATAATTCGCTTGCATGTAGGGGTCTTTAGCAGTGGCTTGAAACTGGAGGTCTCGGAGAAAATCCATGTGGTTGGACAGGCGACCATACTCCTTATCACTTACGACCCGGGAATCGAAACCACGCCAATTGACTCAATGATAAATCTTATGATCTAACGTCCACACGTTAACCATTCGACCACCCAACCCCCTTTGATAATAAGAGATATATACCAATGGTTTTCACACCTTAAAGTTGCCGTTTCTTTCATATCAAATTCATTTTAAAATAACGTAAAGTTTATGAGAGACTTGTTAAGATATCGTATAATCTCATGTTATGGATACGGGTGTGTCATTAACTAGGGTCAATATTTTAATTCACCTTTGATGGTGTACAATATGTGTGTATTTTAAGGGGTTAACACCAGGACCTGCAGCAGGATTTTAAATCTGAGACGGGATGAAGAATATATAATGATCGTTGTAGGCATTATTGATCACGTTATCGGTAAATCTAAACCGGACATCGCCACCCTCATTAAACCAAACGGACGTTTAAACAGCACATTCTCGGCTCTGTCACTTGTTAATCCTCTAAGAATGAAATAAAAGAGGGTTTTATGTGCACGAAATTTAATCCCCTTAAATTTAGAGCATTGGGATGAAGTAGGTTTAGAGAGTCCACGTTCTGTGGTTCATCTGTGTATATTTTGATTGCTATAGATGTGTAACGTTCGTGAGGTGCTTTAAAAGATGTCCGCTCATCGGTGAAAGAATGGGTTCGGGGAGGGAAGGTTTTTTTTCGTTCACCATTGAGACGCTCACACTTGAATAACATACAAACATATCTAAAAACCCACTTGAAAGACCGCGATGTATAATGGCTGACCTTAGGTAATATACAGGTTTGTTATATCAGTGTAATCCCCCAATGTATAGACTCTTTCAACAACAAACCGCTAGGCCATTTAAAGAGACTTATACATCTTTCTAGACCACTTGATACCACTTCTGAAACCGTTAGGTCATTTAAAGAGGCTTATACATCTTTCTAGAACACCTGATAACAGACAACGGCTTGGTCATTTAACACTTCTGGCACATTTTTAGACCATCTGATACCACTTATGATATATTTCTAGAACACCCGATACCATGTATGATACATTTATAGAACATCTGATACCACTTATGATACATTTATAGAACATATGATATCACTTATGATACATTTCTAGAACATCTGATACCACCTCTGGTACATTTCTAGAGCATCAGATATCACTTCTGACACATTTCTAGGACACCTGATAATAGACCACCATAAGTAATATAGAGTTTTGCAATATCCCTGTAGAGAGTCTTTTAACAATAAACCAATAAATAATTTAAAAAGATGAAACAAGGAGTAGGGTCGCCTATCCAACCTCGTGGGTTTTCTCCGGGTCCTCTGGTTTTCTCCCACTATGTTATGTGTTAGTCCCGAAATGACCTAGTTTGTGTCGAGTAGACAAGTGGATATTAAACTCTCTCTCCAGACTAGCGAAGAGGGATTGAAATTAATGGTGGTCTGCCGCCCTATACGGCTTATGCCCATCTTCATTAACCCAGTTGGAGAAAAAAAAGTAGTCCTTCACATTTAAGGTGCACTTTCGCTCTTGCTCTTCTCGATCACCTTGACTTTCCTTCGCGGGAGTCATTAAAAACTCCTGCAAATTAGCTAAAACACTCTCCTAAATATTGAGCATAATAAACTACTTTCAGTTTTTGTTTATTTTTAAACTTGCATATATTCAAGCTATCGGTTTCCATGATGCTACCATATTCATTGACATTTCTCTTCGTTCATTCTCTATTTTAATAGAAGATGTGACTAGAATATAAAAAGACTTGATCTAACAAAAATACAATTTAACAATAAAATTAATTTTATTCCGAACCGAGATAGACACGACATAAGAACGATACACCAAACCGTGGTATTTGTTATAACATTATCATGAGAACGTCGATGAAGACCATTTGGAGTTAAAAAGTTTTTTAATAATGTCAAACCACTTAGAGAAAAGGTTAAATTTATCAATGGTCCACCCTGTTTTTACAAAAAAATACTATAAATATTAATGTTTATACCACTTGTTATATAGGTACAGAGTCAATTCTGAGTTAATTCCTGTTCACACAATGTAATAAAATATA